CCCCTTCCCCTGGGAGAACACTTTACAGGTTTTAAAGTCTGTTGGGACCTGCTGCCTGTCACGCCTTCACCTTCCAGTCCAAGAATGGCACGGGGACTTTTCCTCGCTTTTTTAGACGAGTGAACGGAGATTCCAGGAATGGAGGGTTCACCCAAGCAGCGGGCGTGACCACCCTCAGGGCTGGTGAGTCCGCAGCCGGGAGGCCTCTCCTGCTGGGGCCTCTCTGAGAATCTTGTCCCTTTTGGAACGGGATGTAAGCTGTGTGGCTGGACCGGCCCCCACAAGGGCACACCCAGGAGGGTGCCTTGGCACACAGCTCAGGACAGGAGCGTCCCTTGGCGTGTGTGGGTGTATGTCCCAGCCTCTCCTGAGGTTGTACGATCCCTGCATAGCCTTCCACCCTTTCTGCTTGTGAACACGCGTTCCTAGACCGTGAAACACGCCTTCGTGGTGCTCTCTGGAGCATCCTGGAGGCCTGTGTGCAGGCAGAATGCCATCATCTGATGGGATCAGGGGACAGCGGTGCCTGTGGCTGCTGGGACCCTGGCGGCTTCCTCTCTGTGGACCCTCACGCCTGCCGTATAGGGCAAAAAAGACTGTTCGTTGGATGAATACTTGAAGTCACCACAAAACATCTTACCCTCTGCCTTCTTTCCCGACCTCCCTTTTCTCCTTCTAACACTTGAGGCCTTGTTTGTTCTCTGTGTTCCCACATCGAAGGGCTAGCTGTATGCTCTTGGAGCCATTGTTTTATCTCTTGGTTCCTCAGTTTGTTCATCTGTGTAATGGGCACAGTTGGCACATGCCGAGAGGCCCTGACCTCCTTCCTGGCCTCAGCATCTCTCCCGCCAGGAGGCAGTGCGTCGTGGTGCAGAGAGCCAGGAGTGGCATTCTGCAGGTGCCCCCAGTCTGGAGCCTTCCTCCCTCTGGGCCTCAGCCTTCGGTGGGCTTCTAAACCCACGTGTTCAGGTGTTCTGCGATGATAAAATGTTGTACACGTTCCCGCGTCAACTTTTGCACCTGTGAAAGTGGACAGGTGGGGTGGGAATGGGGAGAGCCACACCAGGAGTCATTCCTGGCTTTTTGGAGCCAGTTAGCCACTGATTCATCCACTGGGAAGTTATTTATCAGACTGTCATTATGTGCTGGCACTTGGCTAGGCTTGGGAGAAGGTGCTGATAGAGGTGGCCTTGGTTCCTGCCCTCCTGGAGCCCACAGCCTCTGGGGAAGGTTTCAGGGGGGAGGTGGCTTTAAGAATGAGCAGAAAAGAGGCAGAGCAGAGGGGCGGGAGGAAGGCAGAGGTGCAGGAACCAGCATGTACCAAGGCCCTGGGGTGACTGAAATTCACGGTGGTGAGTGTGTGCCTGAGGGTGGTGTGTGTTTGTTGTTGGTTAACAGCTGCTTGAGGATGGAGAGAATGGGGCCCTCTTGCGTGCTAGAAGGAAATTCAGCTTCTGATGGGGGTGAGCGGATAGGGACCCGGGGATCCGCCAGTGTGGTTTCTGAAACGTCGACGTTAAAAACACAGATTCTGAGTCAGCAGGTCTGGGGTGGGGCCTCACCCAGGTTCTGCGTTTCCAGGGGCTCGTGCGAAGTGTGCACGGCTGGTCCCAGGCCCCACTGTGAGCAGCGAGAACCTCGACTCACCGTGCCATGGGCCGGCCCTGTCCCGACTGGCCTGGGGGACATCAGTGGGCAGGGGCGCCTTCTGGGGCCTTGCAGGCCTGACCCTCACGGGCCACCTCTGCATTTTCCCTTTTTCTGATGGGAAGTTCATTTCCGAGTTGGCAGCTGATGCTGAATTCTTGCTGCTGTGTGTGTGTGTGTGTGTGTGTGTGTGTGCGATTGATTGACTCCTGAATTGTGCTATTTGTTATTTTTTGGGGATTATCCTTGAGCCCTTGGAAGGCACACAGATATAAGGCTGCTTCAAAATCCTTTCCCACTGGCTCCTTGAAAGGCTTGGGACCTCCAACCGGAGGTGATCTGCGTGCTTCTAGTCCCGAGATGCCCGTGGGAGGTGACAGTGCTGAACGCCGCGGGTTCTGGGCGCGGGGAGGGTTCCGCGAAGCCCACGCGGGCCCGGCGGCCGTTCAGGAGGCTCCCCACTCTGCGGGCCGCGCTCGGGAAGGGCTCGTGTCTGCGCTCGTCACTGCACTGCCCGTAGGGCCCGGCTGCGTGCCGACCGCGGGAAGAGGCCTAGCGTTCTGCGGGTCCCTCCAGGGCGTCCTGTCGGCCCCGCTGTTGTGACTCACACCCCAGGAAACAGAAATAGCTGACCTAGAAACGTGCCAGTGGCCGCTCAGGGAGAGAGGGCCTCGCCCCCAGGCCTCTGTGCTCTGATTTCAGGCATAGGCTCGCGTGGATGGGCATCGCCCCCTCCCCCGGCAGCGTTGTGGGGTCGCACCCGAATCCGCTCCGTTTCACAGAGGACGAGACAGAGGCTCAGAGGGCCGAGGTCGTCCCGATGCCGCCACACCCTCCTTGTTTGGTTTTATTCCATCCGAGAAGCGTGCCAGCCGTGCGGGGGCACCTGATGAAAGACGATGTGAACAGTGTGGCGAGCACACTTGCAGGCGGCGGTGTTCGTTTTGGTGCTGCGGGCCTCCATGTGCCCTGGGCGCCGAGACCTCCCCGAGCCAGCCTCGGCCACAGGGGCGGACCCCTGATGCCACTTCAGGGTCCTCGGCTGGTGGCTCCAACTGCAGGGCTGTTTCCACAAGCCCCTCTCTGGAGCTTTGAGGTACAGACCCAGCGCCTCATTTCTAAGTGGATTTTGTGGGCTCACTGGGGGACAGAAGTGCATGTTGGGCGTCCTGGGGGCAGAGACTCACTATCTGGGTCTTGAATTGGCTTGTGGCCTGGGCAGGAGGCAGGCTGCTCGGGGCCTGCGTGGGGGCTCCTCTGCCCACCGAGGGTCTCTGCACGGACTGAGTGTGGACATCACGGTTTCTTTTCCTTCCTGGGGACAGAGCCCTCGGCTGCCTCTCAGTGGAGGAGCAGGCTGGTGAGGCCACCGCTCCCGTCCCTGGAATAGTGCCCGGGGCCAGTGGGAGCTGGCCCTGGGCCCTGGCTGGGGATCTCTGGGGACCAGGCCTATCCCTGCTGGACCCCCCTTCCCTTCTCTGAATCTGTTCCTCCATTTCTAAAGGCAGGCATTGGAAGGTGTCCCAGGTTCCCATGGGTTCCACCACTAAATCTGCTGCCTCCTTCCAGCCCCCACCTTGGCCTGGCTTCCTGTCTCCCTGACTCGGGAGACGGGGTTCACCATCTTGGTGGAACTGGGGGTCAGGCAGATACTCTCTTTCCAGCACCTCGAGGGGCTGGAGGGGGATTCAAACTTGGGGACGTCAGAGGGGTGGGCACCTGTCTCAGGCGCAGCTCCGCTGTTCACGGGGTCCAATGCGTAGCGAAAACACGCCCCTCGTTGAAACTTCTTTAAGAATTTCAAGACAGTGACAGCACAGCATGAAACCGAGCCCAGGTCTTTCTGAACGGGGGGCCCTGGGGGGCTGCTTGGGTCGCACGACATCCCACTGGCCCTGGCTGCCCAGTTGGGGCCACCTCGTGGGCACCATCACTGGGACGGGGTGGGCTCACCCCACCGGGGGTCCCGAGCTTGTCCCTTGAGGGATGGATGGCTGTCGCTGGGGGCCTCCAGAACGGGCCATGTTCTGCACCCTTGGGTGGCGTTTCCTGGGTCAGGAGAGGGTGGCCCAGGCAGTGGGCTCGGGAGGGAACCCTAGGCAGCAGGGACTTGTGGGCGGTGACAGTGGCCCGAAGGACCGATTCGGTGTCCTCTCCGGATCTGCTTCTGGGAAGGAGTATTTATTCATTTACTCTCTGACTTGTTCCTTCATTCACTCAACAAATACTGTGAGCTTTCGTTCTGTGCTGAGTCCTGGGAGTTCAGGGTGGAGCCAAGTGGACCACGTCCCTTCCGTGGTGGAACCTATAGACAGCAGCATGGAGGACAGGCAGGTCTGGGAAGCCCAGAGAGCTTGGCTTCTCTCACCGGGGTCACGGCTGGCTAGACCTGGGTGACGGTGTATCTGGGGAGTCAGGGCAAAGCCCGCCTACCTCCAGGGCCGGGGGGGCCAGGAGTGAAAAGAGGAGACACAGGGTGACCTAGGACCTGTGGGGTCTGTCCTTCCTTGGGCAGGCGTGGCTCTCAATCCTCGTCGGGGCATTTCTGACTGTCCGGAAGGAGTCGTGCGGGCGGGGGGCTCCGGCAACCTCGGGGCCGGAGGAGACCGTTGGCGAAGGCTGGGACGCAGAAGCCCCAGTGCCCTTCCAGATTCGTCTCCCGCCCAGATCAAAGCACGCCAGAGCTGTGCTAACATACCAGCCACTGGAAGATGGTTTCTGGCATATTTCATTTCCAAAGCTGTTAGCTGGGACCCCCAGAAGGACGTGCCATACTTTTCGGTTCTTTGAAACGACTTTCAAAAAGTAATGAAAACGTGGGGCCCTTGCTCAAGCACGTGTGAGAATCGCGGGACAGTATCAGCAGAGCGGACGGTGGAGACCCAACCTCAGCTCGGCGGTTCAGAACCTGCTGGGGTGCTGGGTGCTGTATGCTTTCCCGCAGCGTTTAAGCTCGCTGTTTTCTTTTTTTTCCTTTTTGATTAAATTTTTTAATGTTTATTTATTTTTGAGAGAGAGAGAGAGAGAGAGAGAGAGAGAGAGCGTGAGCAGGGGAGGGGCAGAGAGAGAGGGAGACACAGAATCGGAAGCAGGCTCCAGGCTCTGAGCTGTCAGCACAGAGCCTGACGTGGGGCTCGAACCGCAAACCCGTGAGATCATGACCTGAGCAGAAATCAAGAGTAGGACACCCGATCGACCGAGCCACCCGGGCACCCCTAGGCTCTCTCTGTTTCAGTTCCTTCGCCTGCAGGTGGGGATAATGACAGGAGCTGCACGTGGGTCCCGGGTGAAAAGAGGGTTGATGTGCACGAGCCGAGTCAACCCAGGGGTTGTCCCTGCTGCCCAGGGGACAAGCGGATGCCAGCGAGCATGGGCCAGAGCATGGCTGCTGGCTCCGGCACCCTCACCCCCACGGAGGGAGCTGGGTGTCTCTTCCTCACTGTAGGGAACCTCAGTTCCCTGGGGCTCGGAGGGGCTGACCCCAAAGCAGAGGCCGCCTTCCGCTGCCCGCTGCAGAGAGAGGGGTGCCTGCCGGGCTCCCTCAGGGCTGACCCCTCTTGGGTGGCTCCTTGTCTCAGCGCCAGGCAAGGATGGCCCCGGCCCTGGCCTCTGGAGCCCAAACCTCCCGTGGGTTAAGGTGGTGCCAGCAGAAAGATTCTGTCCATCGCACGAAGGGTAGACGGTGTGTGCTCTTGATGGCAGAGGGGGGCCAGAGCAGGGGAGGAGACCCTCACCCAGGGCCCTCGCCTCCCCTGGCTTCATTGCCTTAGTCATGTTAGACAGCAGGTGCCGTGCCCAGTGCTGGGACATAAGACGAGACACAGTCCCCTCCCCCGAAGGGCTCATCGTCCAATGTTCAAAAGAGACCCCGTGAGCCGTGCTGGAGGGGAGAGCGCAGGGTCTGGGAGGGTGTGGGGGGCACTGAACCAGAGGAGGGGTCTGGGAGACACCCAAGGTGTCAGGAGTGGGGGCGGGAAGAAGGTCCCAGCATGAGGAACAGCCCGTGCAGAGGCCCGGTGGGGCTGGCGCTCAGAACGAAGGGGGTGGGTGTGAGTGGAGAGACCCATCCAGGAGGGGTCCGAACGCCGTGCTGGGGCGTGAGCTCCCCACCCCCCGAGGTGTGCGGGCAGAGCTCAGCTAGCTGGGGCTTGATGAGGATGTTGGCTTAAGGATTTCACCCTGGATGGGCTGGATGAAGCAGACTTTGAGGTCCCTTCCAGCTGTCACGCTCTGGCTCCTCGAAATCCCCTCCGGGAGCAGCGAGGCTATAAAATATAAATCAATAGGTTAAAAATACGCTTGTCTCCTGCTTGTCCAGGCCCTGTCACTCTGCCCGCCTCCCCGGGTCTTCAGAGGATTCCCCGCTCGTCTCGGCAGCCCCAGCGCCTGGCAGGGGAAGGTGGCTTTGTTCCTGAGCGAGAGGCGGGGCCGTCGCGCCCCCGCCGCCGAGGCCTCCAGTCTGCGTTAGATCATTGCCGCCTCCAGAATGTGCGCCGTCCCGTCCCGGCTGGCACCCCCTCCTCCTATCTTCCCTGCTTTCATCGCCGGGCAGGGGAAGCTCAGCCAGACGGTGTCTGGGGCAGCCACGTCCCTAACACAGAGGAGGCCGTGCGGGGCGGGAAGGAACCAAACCCGGAGCCGGCCAGTGTGGTGACCCCAGATTAACCGGGCTAACGGCTCTGCTGGGAGCGGGTGGGGGGGGGTCCCCAGGGTTCCCCCCCCGGTTCCCATGGCAACCGGGAGCAGCTAATAGAGACTGGCAGCAAGCGAAATGAAAGGTGATGTGTGGGAAAATGCACTGGCCAGCGAAGTCGCTGGGGACAAGGCGCTTTTCCCACCAGGCAGGCCAGTCCTCACTTCCTTTCTGTGGTGGTCCATCCGTCCGTGCGTCTGGAGGAATTTTCGGGTGCTTCTGAGCACGTTTATTTTTGTTATTACCTAACAGTTCCCTTTCCTGCACGGGGGTGAGGGGACACGGTCTCGTCGGGGGGGGGGGGCCCACGCGCGTGATGATAGTTGAGGGGCCGCGAAGCAGCGTGTGCCCCGTCGATGATGTGCGGGCCGCCTGCCGCCTCGGCCGCCCTCGTGCGCCTTCCTCAGCCCTCCGCTGGTCCCGGCATCCTCCAGCACTGGCAGGAGAGGGGCAGAGGCCCCTGCCTGCCCGCGTGTTGGGGCGGCCCCAGCAGGTGTTCTCGAAGGCCCTGGTGGGGACGAGGCCCCATCTCCCGAAGCCTTGTCAAACGCGTCCTCTGCCCGGCACTCTGGGACACTAGCTCGGCTGACCCTCTGACCGTGGTTTGAGATTGTCTGGGGCCGAGTGTGAAGTTTTCCCGCTGAGGGGCGCCTGGGTGGCTCAGTCGGTTAGGCATCTGACTTCGGCTCAGGTCACGATCTCCCGGCTCGTGGGTTCGGGCCCCGCGTCGGGCTCTGTGCCCGCTTTGGACTCTGTGTCTCCCTCTCTCTCTCTCTGCCCCTCCTCCGCTCACGCCCCATCTCTCTCTCTCCGTCTCAAAAATCAACGAACATTAAAACAATTTTTAAGAATTTTTCCTGCTGAGTGCCAGCTACCTGGTGGCCCTGGCAGGATGGGGATGGTCCCAAAGTCACTCTGAGGACGGAGGGAGGTTGGGAGGTTTCAGGGCGGACACCGGCCTTGTGTGCAGGCTGGCTGGGGCCTCCCGGGGAAGCCGACAGAAAGACCCGGGCCCCTGATGTGTACTGGGTCAGGGAACGTCCCCGCATCCCTCTTTCAGAGCCTCGAAACTGGCTGATTTCTGCCTTTGTCTCTCTGTTGCCACCACAGGTGATCTTGATCCTGACGAAGTATTACCACGCCGACATGGGGAAGGTTCTGGAAAGTTCTCTGTGGCGGTAAGTCAAGCCGAGGGCGGGCCTCTCTCCTTGCGCACCTGCACTACTCCCGAGACTGAGGGCTGAGATCCAGACGCCCAGCTGGAGCAGCCCTGTGAGTTGGCGGCCTCGCAACTTTTCTTTGGCTACAAAATGCACGTAGGACACGGTGGAAAGCGACAGCGGGTTTCGGCAGTGGGCACAAACAGCACCGGAGAAAAGACGGCCCTTTAGAAAGCTCCTTCGCTCTCTTTTCTTTCTGTTTTTCCTCTCCCCCTCCCCCTCCCCCTCCCCCTGCCTTTTTTTCCTCCCCGAGGAAGAGGGTCTGCATTTTGAATTCAGGTCAGTGCACACATTCCCTCCGCTCACGCTCTGAACTTCAGACGAGCGGCTTCTGGAGTCCACCAAGTATGCCGATTATCCTCATTGTTCAGACGTGTTTCTTTCTTCCTGGCTCAGCCGAAGAGCTTGGTAAATAAATAACCCACTGGCGACGGGGGATATCTCTTTCTATGTGAGATGTGAACTCAGTCCAAGAACATTAAGCAGCCCCTTTGATGTTTTAAATGAGGCGGGAGAGAAGGAGGTTTTGGAGAAATCATTTCAGTTACTATCATCTTCAATATTTACACCTGCTCACCCGGGGAGGGGGAAGGGAGGCTCCCGGGCGGCTGGGGCTGTCGTCTCAAAAGCTGTCCTCGGGCCACGATTGTGTTTCCTCCACGCGCTGCTCGCCACTCCCACGTTCCCTGGGTGTGCTGGACCGTTTTGTTTTTCAAGGTGTGTTTCTCAAGCACCAATTAATTCATTTTTTTCTATTTGAAATCCATAAAAAAAAAAACACCTCTGCACGCTCATCAGGACTCCTGTATGTGTGCAGCCCCCTTGAGTTGATTTATTTTTGGCTCTTGGCTTTGCTTCTGGGGCAGAGGCTTGATGATTCATCCTGTTGGTTCTTGCTGGGGGATTTCCGTGATGCTCCGGGAAGGTGTTGAAATAGTACCTCCAGCTGGGTCCTTTCCTTCTTGTATAAGGAATGGGGGCGTCTTGGGGCAGCCGGGTTGGTCACCGGTGGTGCTGATGGGACCAAGCCTGGGGAGCAAGCAAACCACTCGTACTGCCCTGCGTTTTTCTTACCCCTCCAGCCAGAGAGCCTTTCCTAGCCGGCTCCTCCCGGCCGTGGATTTGCGGGTTCGCCCTGCAGACACCCACCCCCCCCCGCCCAGCCCGCCCCCCCAGTCCTTCTGTCGGCCTCAGGGAGAGGGGTCAGCATCCTACAAAGAGGACAGCTGTTTTCCTGCCACACTCCCCCTCGTCATTTCGTCTTGTGCCTTGAAGCAGCTCACCCCCGAGGAGAGGTCCGAGGCTTGCTTTCAAAAGTCCCGCTCAGTTTTGCGGGGAGGCAGCTCGGCATTGGGGATGAGAGTGGACCGTGGCGTGAGCGCTAAAGCTCCCGCCACCTCTCACTGCGGCCCTCTGAGGGTTTCAGGGTGAGGCCCTGGGACGGGCTGGCCCATGGAGGGCGTTGTCTCTTGCTAGGTGGATGGTCCAAGGAGGTCCCCCCGGGGCTGCAGAGTGAACAGGGGCACTTGGCTCTTCTCTTGGCCTTGAATTCTGGGCAGCATCCCATAGTAGCCGCCTCGCTGGCCCCAAATGCTGCACACCAGCCACGCCCTGATGGGCGGGCGGGCTCTCCCTGCACCGGCTGCACTCGCTGGCCATCCGGAATGCACGGTTTCCCTCGCTCCCTCCAGCATCTCCGTGGGCTGCGCTCGGAAACGGGAGGTCATAAATGTTGCTGGAACTCCTTCCCAGTGCCATCTGTGCCCACAGGACAGAGCTGTGGGGTATACGTAGGGCTTGCTGCCCACCCTTATGGGGGACGCGGTGGGGACGGGTGGATTTGGGCCACCCCGTGGCACGGGGGCCAGGAATTTTTGCTGAAGGGCTCCAGACTCCCGATTCTTCAGATGTGGCTACAGCAGCCGAGAGGGAGGCCAACCACCCACCTCAGGGCTGCTCCAGCGGGGGGGCTCTGTCCGCTCTGTCTCCGCCTGGGAGAGCATGAGGGCCCGGCGAGGTGACACGAAAGGTCCCCAGAACGGTACACGGTCTCGATTTAGTTTTTCTCCGAAGCAGATCAACAGACCAATTCTCCATGTTCTTTCTCATCACTGTCTCTGTGCAGGCATCTCCTCTCCTTTATTAAAAATACACGCAAAGGCGTTAGTCATGTCAGGAAGGATCACCCCAGCCCCACCCGTTACTTCCGGCGTGGAGCCATCACATCCTCTGTGTATCTTTCTCTCGCGGACGTATTTATATAGTCAGACGTGGAAGAAAGTTCTGCGTTCTCCTTTCTTCACGCATCTGTTTCCAGTTTCTCGAGGTTGGACCGCGTCCGCATCAGCGCTTCCTGTGGCCGCGGACTAGCCCTTGGTGGGTTCGTTCTGACACGGGGCCGCGCCGCTGCCGTAAAAAAAAAATGTAGGCGTGTGGTTGTCCTTCTCCTTCTGTTCTCTGGGCAGAAGCCAGGGGGGTAACGACCGAGCCGGAGAGTGAGTGGAAGGCCGGCCGGCCCGCTGCAGGCCCCCGAGCGGGCCGTCTAGGCCCCAGCGGCCGCTCCCGTTTGAGTCCCTTTGGTTCCCGGGGAGCATGAGTAGCGTCTGTGTTCGACTGCCAATCACGTTTTCCTCTTGCGAGCATTTTCAGCCCGTGTCCCCTCTACCTTGGCACCTGCGTGAGTGTCTTTAGAAGTGGAAAGGTTGCCACTGGTCTTGCGTGGGGATGCCACCCCGCCTCCGTCTGCTGGTCAAGGCCCACGTGGATGGGCGCTGACAGAGCCCGTGCCTGGATCACGCGGATTAGAGAGTCACTCGCTGGACGCGCCCTGAGCCTCCCCAGGGTTCTCCTGTGCGGTCCCCGTGAGTCCATTTTTAAGGACAGGTATGGTATTTACATTCTGGAAATGGCTCTCTGAAACGTAAGCCGAGTGCATTTTTAATTGTCCTGCATTTCAGGGGCCCCATGTCACCCCGTCCGGTCTTCAGGGTGGGGCCGTGCCCTCCACTCTGGGGAAGGGGCACTGGGAGGGAGCGAGGCTGCCCCCCACCCTCCAGAGAGCCTCCAGTTGGCTTCAGAGCTGATCCTGTGCGGGCACCTCCCATTTTGGGTTCCCAGGGCTGATGGCAGCAGGAGGAACACACTCACCCAGACCAGCCTGCCTGACGCTTGCCCGATGTCCAGTCTGTGCGAATGTCCTGGGGCTGCTGGAACGAAGGACAAAAAGTAGGGACTTTAAAGCAACAGGAATTTGCTCTCTCATGGCCCTGGGGGCTAGAGTCTGAGATCAAGGTGTGGGTGGGGCCGGGCTCCCCCAGGATCCTTCACGCCTCTTCCAGCTCCTGGGGTGGGGGTGGGGGGACACGCCAGTCCCTGCCCCCAGCTTTGGCTTCAGACGGCCTCTTCTATGTGTGTCTGCCCTGTGTGTGTGCCTTATGAGGACACTTATTGTTGGATTCAGGGTCCACCCAGGTGATCCGGGGTGATCTCATCTCTAGAGCTCTGACTTAGTGACATCCACAACCACCCCTTTTCCAAATAAGGCCATGCACAGACTCTGGAGGTAGGTCGTGGACACATCTGCTTGGCTGTGTCATTCAGCTCACTGCACGGTCCTCACCCCTGGGCTGCACTGCCCGGATCTGACTTCCTAAATGGCTCTTGCCCCTGTCGCCCCTCTCCATCCTCACCTGTGTTCCCTTGCTGCCTCTTCATCCTTGGTGGGGTCCTGTAGCCCCGTCCCAGCTCCTCCCCCGCTGCCCCTCACCGCCCCTCCAAGCCTCGCCCCTGCAAGGCCCCAGGGACTTGAGATGCACGCACGCCCACAGTCTTGCCCTGCTCCCTTGTCCCCTGGTGGCTTCCCAAGACTGATACCTGGGCATCCCGCCCTCCTTGTCCAGGTGTAGGGGTGGGGGACCCAGTGGGCAGAGCCAGAGGCTGTAGGGGCAAGTATAGAAGAGCGTGGGCACGCACGGTCCCTCTGAGAGTTGATGTGCAACTTGTATCTATTCCACGGTGGGGCCATAGCGGTTGCGAGGTAAAGATAAAGAGCGTTTGGAATTAATATGGACGTGATCTGTAAATGCTCCTGTGCCCCCACACCCTGCCTGCAGGAGGATGTCGCCTGGTTCTTCCCCTGGTTCAGGGCTGTCCCTCCAGGTTCCCAGGGGCAACCCTTCGGGGGTTCCCAGGACACTGCATTATCCATTGGAAAATTGAGACCACTCCCAGGCAAAGGGACGAACGGGCACCCCTGATACGGATTGGAGGCAAAGTCCCCGGCTGGTGCTGCCCGGGCCCCCGCGGCCTGGAGCTGGGACCCTCAACTGTCTGCTTGATCGGCCCCGTTCCCTGCAGGAAGCCTTTGAGACACTGTTCTCCTAGGTGCCCCTCCGCCCACGACTGTATTTCTGTTGAAGTTCAATGTGACCTGCGCCTTGTACATAAAAACGTAAGATCCTTCGCACCCTTCGAGAACCAGTTTTTGCCCCTTGAGGGCAATTTTGTCCCTGGTTGAAAATCCACATCCTGAAGAAGAGCCTCAGGGGGGAGGGAGGGGGTCTTGTTAAAATTCAGATTCTGATTCCTGGGTCGGGGGTGGGGCCCGGGGCTCCGCATTGTTAACAAGCCCCTAGCGATGCTCGAATTGCTGGCCCACTGAGCACACTTGGAGTGGCAGGGCCCTGGCTCATTCCGGGGTCAGCTGGGGGCCTCAGCATCGCCCGATGTCTGTGCCCGACCTGGGCCCGCATTTGGCCTGGTCTGGGCTACGGCAGGCACGGCTCCGGTGTCCAGCCTGGGCTGGGTCTTGGGAGGCCCATTTGGTGTCACCACCGCTGAATCCCAAACGGCCGGTGAGGCTCGGCTGCCTCACAGACGCCGTCAGGAAGGTAACTGCAAGCCATCGAGGTTGGAGCCACATGCAGATGGTAGAAAATGGGTCCTCGGTGGGAGGAGGT